TTGTAATTGGCTAATAAAGTATGTTTTATTATTAGTTCTGTTCTTCTCTTTTAACTGTAATAATTGCTAAGGTATGGTAATTATTGTCGATTAGCTAGAACATTACTTACTGGGCTTTCCAAGCTCACCCCTTTTTCGCCATATATCAGGCTATAGGTGGAGCTCAGTTTAGTGGATTGTGCATTTCTTTATTTACTCGTGACAGTTAGTGAGATTTCATGTACTGACTCACTTGTAGTGAGATTTCATTTTAGTTGTTTCTGGATATCAGTTGATTATCGTATGGGGTATGGGATTATGACTGTTATGGTTTATTCATGAGTGAACAAGAAGGCATGGTGGTTTTATTTTGTTTCATTCTATGAAAATTTCGGAATGCAAATGTCATTAATGGTTGTTATTGTGATGTATTTGTGACGATTGAGATGATAAGTCACGTACTTGTTGAGGTAAGGTCAAGAATACCCTGACCTAAACTTGGGGGCGTGATCAACCCTACAACAAGTAATCCCACTGTATGAGAAGTAGAGGATGATTTAGTTCTACGTCTCTTATATTTGTTCTCAAATGAGGTAGGTTGCTTAAACTGAAATAGACTACGGTCAAGAAGCTTTCATTTTACCAAGTAAGAAAATATGTTTAATGTTCAGTGATCAGAAATCTTGGTATATGTCTGGCATCTGTATGTCATCAGTTAAAACATCTGATTGGTAGTGCTTTATCTTCTATAAATTGAGTTAATTCTGACTTCTCTTCTTTGTCTTCGTTCCATTGGTGAAGTTTCTTTCATCTTTTTATCCGTTGAGTGGTCACTTTGGAGCAGATTTACGGAGACCGGATTAGCTGAATGGTTCAGTTCCAGACTATACTACAGATTTAATGAAACAAGTAAAATGCATACATATATATATATATATATAATATAAACGAAGGAACAATGCTCATATAATCATATCCGACGACCAAGCAGACACCATTTAACACCAGCCAATGAGAAATATAAATAAAATCACCTTTTCAAGCACAAATCCAATAGCACCAAAATTAGGGGGGCCCATGGCCCCCGCGGCCCCCCTTCCCTCCGCCCCTGGGTATATGTCTGGCATCTGTATGTCATCAGTTAAAACATCTGATTGGTAGTGCTTTATCTTCTATATATAGAGTTAATTCTGACTTCTATTCTTTATCTTCGTTCCGTTGGTGAAGTTTCTTTCATCTTTTTATCCGTTGAGTGGTCACTTTAGAGCAGATTTACGGAGACCGGATTAGCTGAATGGTTCAGTTCCAGTTTCTGTTCTTGCCATCTGTGATGCAAAGTCTAATAATTTATGTAACTGCCTAAATGCTGAGGTTGAATCAAATCCATTGCCGGTTATAACTTATGTCACTTATTCTGAGGCCTGCTGCAACAACATTACCTGGTCTCATTTCTATTTCTGAAGCACAGCTTTCGTTGAAGAGGCAAGATCCTTACGATCCTGAGGTTATACAGTCTGTAGTAAACCAACAATGTAGCTTGCCAGAAAGCACTTGAAGCCATATGTATGGCATATTCAGTTGACAAAGTGTCGTACTCGGACCCATAACGATCTCTGTCTCTCCTCTAATGGTTATTACTTGGATGTTATTGGCCACGAACTTGGTGTAACCGATTTCAAAGTAAGGGATTGCATAAATTTTAATTGGTTTAGTTTGTTGTATGTAGTATGTTTTGAATATGCTCATATACTCATATTTTATTCGTACTACTCGGTTAAGGTTCCGATTTTTAGGTAAAGTGAGGAATAATTTTGTATCCTAAATCTTTGTGGAACTTATTTTTTGTCATGCACTACTTGAATTAGTTATCCTTACCATGCTTATTTTGGTCAAATACAGTTATCTGGGATATTCATCGGTACATTTCTGATAATAAAAGATTTACACAAAAATCTAATAAGAATGGGTGGGCAGCTCACAGACTCTAGTGAAGTTTAATTTTCCATGCTTGACAAGCAAGGGAGGGAAGTTTTACGTACCGGTGGGGTGGGTTTGAGTTGACGGGTTGGAAGTTGATGCTAGATGTTTTGGCACTTAACCCCCCTAAGGGGTATAGTGCAAGTTTGATACAGTGGGAGATGATGGCTCCTCTTTCTTCCTTTTATATAAATGTACCTTGTGAATATCTGTTTATTCAAAAAACTGCGCAATTTTTACAGGACTATTGGCAGAGCTTCTTCTGCGACAAGACTCTACTTTCGTGCTCGCAAATGGTATCCGCTGGATCTGTCATCAGAACTACTGCAAAAAAATGCTGTTCAGTTCAAGGGATCTTTAAATGTGAGGGGAAAGTTGCTGCTCTGGTCAAGATATTTATGGTGATGCACTTTTGGCATCCGTTGGGTACACATGGAATTGCACTCACCTCTTTCATGAAAACTTCATTTGGTTTGTAGAATTGCTTATTCCACCACGTGCACCCTTATACTGCTTAATTTCCAAATTCTTTATTCATGATAGCATATATTTTGATTTTTCATTCATGAAAAAAAAAAAAAAAAAAAAAAAAAAAATGAAAGGGAAAAGAAGATAGGGGCAAAGTGGTCATATCACGATAGCATATATTTTTATTTTTTAGGGTAAAGTGCATTAAACCCCCTTGAACTATTGGTCATTTGCAAGAAACCCCTCTGAATTACAAAAAACCCTCCTAAACTATGATTTTGTTGCAATTTACCCCCATGACAGCAGCTTCCGGCGCCGAAAATTTTGAAAGACCGGTTTACCCTTATAACACACTGCGTCGTTTTAACTTATACACTTCTTACATTTTTTTTTCTGCCAAAAGATGTTTTTCACCCAACACAACCCAAAACAGAGAGCTAGAGAGAGAGAAAAGACCAAAGAAATCCGAGGTCGGCGGAATGGCTCGGTCTCGGATGATGGCGGCTTGTGCGCGGAGGACTCGGTTGTGATGAGAACTCGGTTGACTCGGCCGTGAATTGTGGAGGCGGTGGCGAGCTCAAGGGGGCTTGGCGGTGAACTGTGGACGGCTGTGTGCTTGAAACACGGACGGCGGTATGCTCGATTATGGAGATGGCGGAATGCGCCAGCGAGCTTGGAATGGACAATGGAATGGACCGGCGAGCAAGGTGAGCTGAACGGCAGGCAAGGCGGTGACGGCGATGGGCTGACGCAACGGTGCAGAGAAGTGCGATATATATGGCCGACGGATCTGGCGGATGGTGCAACGGTTATGATGGAGCTATGATAGGAGACCCACCGATCCCAGCAACAAATTCCTCGGCTTCATCGTCCCTTTCAGTCAATCAATTCGCGCGGATGGGATAAATTGCAAAAAAATATATAGTTTAGGGGGGTTTCTTGCCCATACCCCAATAGTTCAGGAGTTTTTTTTTATAACTTTTATAGTTCAGAGGGGTTTCTTGCACATACCCTTATAGTTCAGGAGAGTTTTTTGCAACTTTTATAGTTCAGGGAGGTTTCTTGCACATACCCCAATAGTTCAGGGGGGTTTAATGCATTTTACCCTATTTTTTATAATAAATTAAAAAGTAAGAGTAAATTAGTAATTGTGCTCTTCAGTTGATCGGAAACTAGCTTACGGTGGTCTTAAAGGGGGGTATTTTGCTTACTTTTTATAGTTCAAGAGAGCAACTTGTTTCTAAAAATAGTTCAGGGGCATTGTGCAACAATGAGATAGTTTGAGGGAGTATTTTTTTTTGGCTCTTTTACTAAATTATTAGGTATGAATATGTTTGAGGGAATATGTTTGATACTCAGGAATTGACTTTTTTGGGCAACAAATTTTTTTAAAAAAAAAAATTTGGAGAAATTCTTTTTTTTTTTCGCACTTTTTTTCAATTATTCTATTATTATAGCGCACTGTGCCCGACACAAGATGTGCCTAATGGTTATATTGGTCCAAAAATATATTTTTTCCTAACAAAATGAAAAAATTTAAAATTTAAAAATTGCCTTTGCTTTCATCTCTATAATAAATACATTAAATGATCATGGATACTGTATCATTTAATTTAAAATGAAAAAAAGAAAATGTTAGTTTGCGATTTCGTTAGCATCCCCGACTGCAAACCTTGGCGCAATATTAATCCATAAAAGGTTGCCAATAAAATATTCACAAGGTAGAACTAAAAACTGTCAAAGGCAAAAGATTATTAGGCCCAAAGTATTTTAAGCAATCGAACTTTAAGTCTCCTAAAAAAAAAGGTCTGATGAGAGTAACTCAAAACCCAAAATGATCCTAATGGTAAAATGCATGTACTTAGATTGAAGTCCTACGCAGCAGTTCCAGACTATACTACAGATTAAATGAAACAAGTAAAATGCATATATATATATATATATATATATATATATATAAACGAAGGAACAATGCTCATATAATCATATCCGACGACCAAGCAGACACCATTTAACACCAGCCAATGAGAAATATAAATAAAATCACCTTTTCAAGCACAAATCCAATAGCACCAAAATCTACCCTACTCTGAAATCACAACCTTCTTCCCACCAATCATAATGAAAAAAGAATCCACAAACTTACCGAGATGAAAAGAGGAAAGGGAAGCAACATAATTAGTATGCCAAAAGGGACCCTGTGTGTTAAGGGCATTCCAAACTTGATATCGGTTAATAATCTTTTACGTGCTTCTATAATGAGGTGTTATGTTGTCATCTTTCAAGTGAAAGACGTCATTATCATGACCAGCCACCATATATTTTGTTAAATCCTTTAAAATTATCTGTCTCTTAAGTTAGATAAAATTCCCCATCACCTCCGAAAATCTTCAGTTGATTTAAAAAAAAAAAAAAAAAAAAACTGGTTCCCATCGAAATCTAACTTGAACATCAAGCATCATCATCATCATCATCGTGGTGAAGGAAATAATTTTCTCCTTCCTTGTCATCATTTTTATTCTCTGCTCTCTCTCCCAACCTGTGCCATGCCATGTTCAACAACACTTACAGCTATAAACCAGCAAAGCAGCAAAAGTTTCCTAGAGGATTCAACTAAATAACTTGTCTCATCACAAGAATATGCAAATTCGTGCTCAAGCTTCCCAGGACAGCAAGTCAGGACTATCAAACAATTGATTTTCAGGACAAGGAGGATCGCTGATCCTTGCTGAAATATATGATGTTAGTATTACATCGGAGCGGAGCAAACCATCCAAGGCAGTCCACCTATCGTCGCCAGGTTAACACAAGGCAATATCATCAGATCCGCTGTGGATGGCCAATATAGTGCGGTCCTTGTCAAGTTCTGGTTTTGATGATAATGAAGAATAGCAAAGAACAAATGGAGCTGATGACATACCAAGTCGTTGCCAGAGCTGCTGGAAAGAAGAAGAAAAACAAAGCAGCAGATTCTGCAACAAAGAATGCAAACCATAAGATGCCCTACTCAGCTTGAAGTCCTACTCTTTTTTCTGTCAAGTCTAAATTGGCCATGCAACAGGAAGACAGGAAAAACAGCTTGAGGTCCTACCCAGCAACCCCAAACTATAATACAAATAAAATGAAACTCAGTAAGGTGCCCAATATATAGTAGTTCATCTTCAAGACAGTAACAAACTGAAATACACAGGAATAATGCTCATATAATCATAACATTGCCGACCTTGAATTCATAAACACCAGCCAATGAGAAGAATAAGCAAAAGCACCTTTCAAGCACAAATCCGATAGTACCAAATTTTACCGTAAAAGGAGCAACATTCTATTCTTATCTAATAGTGAAAAGAGACCTTGTTAAGATCTCAGTTCGTAGCATTACTACTCTTTAGACATTTTTGTTACAATGACTAGAGCAAATACTTCACTGCAATCAAGATACTAAACCTCGAATTGAACAAAAAGCATGTTGAACATATGTAAATATTAGAAAGTCCAATCTAGAAGACCAGAACCTTCACATAACAAACTAATTTCACAATGTTTAAAATACTCAAAAAGGATCTATCAACCGGCCATCCTGACTTATTTTATGATCATGATCTTTAGGCATTGCTTTCTGTAAATTGGTATCATCTATCTTAGCAAAAGAATGAACCGTCTACATCCAAAGTTGAGCGTAGATTCTGGCAGCATCAATCTACGCAGATTGACCTTCGTTGATGAGCAGAGCCAAACTTCACAGTTCGTAGTTGTGAGTAAAAAAAAAAAGCAATCAACAGGGAATTGAAAAACACAAGCTTGTTCGATAACATAAACAGCTTGTAAATGGATTAAAAATCCAAAAGGGAATCTAGGTGATAAAAGAACAATAATTAGAAATTTTTAAAAAATGTGCTCTGCACACCTACAAAACTGGCCTCAAGGCACTTTTAGCAGTCGGATATATAGCCTTTGGCCCAATTTGTAATTAGTGAACATATATTGTAGTCAAAGTAAAAATATAACAATTTGAAATTAGTGATTTGAATAAAGCTACTATACCCTATTTTTTTAGTATTAAAGCAATAATATTGTAGTCAATGGTCAAATCTGAGAGATTTTTTTTATAAATTAAATAATAACAATAATAATAAAAGCTTGAAAGCCATATACTCAGCTTAAGTCCTACTCAGCACGTCCATGCATTAATCAAATTAAAAGTCCATGCATTAATCAAATTTTAAAAAAAAAAGTAAGATAGCCGAATGTATAGCTGCTTATCTAGTTTCATCTTCAATGCACCCAACAGTAACAAACTGAAATCAACAGAACAACGCTCATTTCATCATATCCTTCTTATTACCAAGCACAAATTTTAACTGTATGCACACACCAATTAAGCATACACTAATAAACACCTGCCAAAATTATAAGCAAAAACAGCTATTCAAGCACCAATTGGTTTAGCATAATTATAAAAATAAAAAATAAAAAATAAAATAACACAAATTGTTAGGAGCCAAAATCTACCCTATTATGCAATTGCATATATACCAACCATAATTTAGAAAAATCCACCAATAGATGTTTGCGTAGAACTATATTGTGTTGGGGGCAACCCAAATTGGATGTGGGTCAAAGATCTTCAACCTGTTTGGATAACAAGGTTTAATGTTGTTATCTTTTAAGTGAAAGACGCCATTATCATGGCCACGATACGTGTCATTAAATGCTATAAAGTTATCATCAGTGAAGTAGATAGAATTCCCCGTCAGCTCCGGATAGTCGAGAGTGGAGAGAGAAAATGAATGATTAGTGCCCACAAACAATGCCCGGTCACCTAAGCATTCCACAGGTTCCCACTTATTGCAATCGAAATCCAACCTATGAACATCAAATCCCAGAGTCCAATAAGCAGCATCATCGTGAAGGAAATGACTTTCCCATTCCTCATTGTCATTGTTATTCACTACTACTTTCTCTTCCAACCTACGAGGATGCACAATGCCAGTTCGATCAACACTTACAGCTTTATACCTGGAAACCAGCAAAAGATTGCCCGAGGATTCAACTAAATAATGATCTAATACACAATTATAAGATCCATCAAATTTGGCCCCAGGCTTCTTCAGACCAAAGGAAATTTTATCAAACACTTGATTTTTGGGACAAGAAGGGTCTGTGAGGTCCCAAGCTTCAATGCTATCATATGAGTTCATGGCATAAAATCGTTGGTCCTTGCTGAAATATATTATGTCACCATAGGCTTTGAACAAACCGTCCAAGACAGTCCACCTATCGTTTCCGGGTTTGCAGAAGGCAATAGCTTCATTACTGCCATAGATGGCCATTATAGTGCAGTCGTTGTTGTCGTCAAGTTCTGGTTTTGAAGATGAAGAATAACAGGGGAGGGACGGGGATGATGACATAGCAAGTTTTGTTACGTAACAACCACTCATTCTTCTGGAGGACAATGTTTCCTCGAAGGTGTCCATTCTGATATCGTTGTTTTGGTGGAGTAAGATTAGGAACTGTGTGATGAGAGAAGGGGAAGGGGAGGAATGATCGGATTTGAGGGAGCGAACGCCGCGAACGGTGGGGAGGGTTTCGACGGAAGGGAGGGGAATGTATGGGATATGAGGGGAGTCTATTAAGGGGTTGTAGAGATAAGGGTGACAATTGCGAGGGTGGTTAAAGGCCAACCATCCATGAGAAGAGCCCACACAAAATGCTTTGTTCGGCATAAGGAGGTCCCTCTGCCATGGTATACTAAGATTCTTCCGAACCCTAATTTGACTCTGCTCCGAAAGGCTGACGAAATGAAAATAGTCCTCCTCGTTGTTGTTGTTGTTGTTGTTGGACTCGTTGTTTTCTGAATTGTTGTGATCGAAAACAGCAACACCTGGAGGTACCATGAGCAACGGTAACGAAGACAGTGATCGAGGAGGACTTACAGGTGGAGAAGAAGAAGAACAACAACAACAACAATGTCGGATCGGCAAAAAGGTCGCAGCTTTTCTGAAGCATCCGCCTCCTCCAAGGAGCAAACCACCACCACCCCCACCACCGATACTGGAGTTGTGAAAGATCGCCGGATTGGTAGAATTGCACCATGTTTTTAGAATAGACCGGTGGCAATACAGCATCCGATCGCCAAAACTCCTCCAATTAGCCATTTCTCTCTCTCTGACTCTGAGATACCACTTAATTCGTGACCTAGAAATATCATCACTCCCATTTCTAAAACCCTAATTTATATCTAGTACATTACAAGCATTTTTTATTCTGAAAAATGCTTTACAAGCCCCACAACACTTGGGTTGAAGTGTTGGGCTTGGGTGTGGTAGCTCCTTTGTCTTATTAATACAATTTTTCCTACGGAACCGAATTGAGTGGGACGACTGGGTCAAATCTGTTTGTTATGGGTTTGGATCGAAAAGGTCTAACCCGAACATAATTGAGATTTTTTTTTTTAACCTGCCAAACAAAAAGATTATAAACATTATAGGCTTATAAAGCAACAAGTACATGAGGAGGGGCACAAGTACATAGACAAATACATATAGACAAATACATATATCTTTGCATGCTATAGAGGCGAATACATAGATCTTTGCATGCTACCTTTCTAAGCCGTTCTACCTTGAAAAGTTTTAGTCTTTACATTATGCGCAATAGGGAGAACAAATTCCTCTTAAAGAAACTGAATAAATCAATACGTAGGAACATGACTCCAGGAGAGTTGGACCAGGGGTGGAGCCAGGATTTGAGAGTGGGGAGTTCTAAAGAAAAATTTCAAACAGAGGATTTATTGGGGGGAAAAAAATTCAAGCAGAGAATGATTTGGATTAGAAGCATCCAGGGCTACTTTTTCACTTTAAAATTGTGTTCAAAAGAGCAACTTTGTCGTACAATTTGAGGAAGCTTTAATTGTTTGTAAGTTTGAACATTCAAATTGTAATGTTTACACGGTTTTGCAGATTGAGAAAAAGAGAGTTCAGATAACAATGTGTTTGGGTTTTCAACAATGTGTTTGGATTGGGCCGAGTTAATGTTTTATTACGGATTGGACTGGGCTGAATGATAGGAAAATGAATAGTAATACATGGGTTTAGTAGTACTAAATGAAATTTTTTAATTGGACCTGGGCTATAGCCCAGGTTAGCCCATTCATAGTTCCACCCCTGAGCTGGACAACAACATTTATTACCTTGTACCTTTGTCTATAAACAGAGTTAACCCAAGACGAAGGGAGAACCCGGAGTGCCATACAGATATTAAAGTGACAAGAAATAAATGACATCAATACACAGCATAAGACAATTTCATAAAGACATATCACCGCTACCAAGATACCAGCAACGACACCCTTCAAGACAAAGGGAGTAAAACCCTGAAAAACTTTTCCATTGCATCCAAGATACATGGTAAGGTCACGACCTGGACTGCCTCAGGTCCCAGGTTCGAACTTGTACATCGTCATTATAACCCTTGACTAAAATTATTGCTGAGGTGTGGGGCAGTCGACAGCATCCCCGATTTGTAGCCTGTGGTAGGTTCCGAAGGAGGCCTGCTCAGGTGAGTTCCGGTGCCAGCCAAAAAATAATAATAATAATAATACAAAGCTACCCAAAACAGACAACCCAAAAAGAAAGCAACAATAAGGCACTTAGGCCCAAACAAATAGCTCGAAGGCAACACACAACCTCCATACAAGAAATACAGAGGCATACTTGATACGCTTTAACTCAAATAAACTGGGAAGAACCTAACGTGATGATACGCCAAGGTATTGAAAAGATGGCTTAATGGATACACCAAGGCATTGAAAAGATGCACAAAATGTACTCGAGGCTTTAAGAAAAGTGACTTGTAGTCAATATAACGCAGCTGGAGTGACGTGGAAAACAAAAGCCTAATAAACCAATTACATTTACCAAGGATGACAGCGCTAACACAAGTGAATAAAAGACGCCACTTAGACCATCTCCAATGCTAAAAGCTATTTTTGCATGCCAAATCTATATTTTGACATCTGCTTACAGTGTCAAAATGTTACATTTTAGCAATTCTGCTCCAATGGTGCATTTTACGCAAAATGCTATTTTTTGACACAACCATCATTCTTTTTCAACTACCATTCCCACCATTCATATTTGCATCAGTAATATTAATATTAGGCACATTCCAAGTCAAGTTGTAGACATTAGAAAGAAACTAAAATTCAACTTAATTAAAAAGAAGCAAAAATCTAAAATATCTGGTCAAAAAAAAGACCCAAAAAAAAAAAAGAAAAAAAGAGAGAAAAAACAAAATGATGTAAAAGAAAATCAAAAAATCAAAACCCATATATATATATATATTATATATATATATATATATATGTATATTATATATATTTGATTATATTATTATTAAAAATATATATATTTTTAGGGCAAATCATTTCAGCCTCCCCAATCGCCTCCATCTTCATTCTAGTTCTCAACTCTAAAATTGCCCCTCTCTCTCTCTCTGTGCAACTGCAAACTACAAAATCAACAAGAATCAGAAGTTCAAAACCCAAATATTTCAATTTATCTATGCAAGAATCAAACGTTCAAAACCTATTTCCTATATCAAAACCCATATCGACATATCATTTTAGATTGTTCAAAAAATCAAAACCCATATCTTTCAGTTTCTATCGCCTGCTGTTCCAGTTCAAGTTAGCCGTTCGCAAACTTCAGCCGCTGTTTCTCAACTCTCAAGCTTGCCCCCCCCTCTCTCTCTGCAACTGGTAACTTGTATGTGTGGGTTTTGTTTTTTTTTTTTTTTTTTTTTTTTTTTTTTTTTTTTCTAAATCAACTAATCAAGGTCTTTAATTCTTGTTTTTGCAAACTAAATCCTATTTTGGTGAAATTTTTTATGATCTTTTTTAAATATATATATATATATATATATATATATATATCTGAACCCTCGCCTCTCTCTCTGTGTGAAATAGTAGTAGCTATTTCTTGTGCTACAATTGGCATTAATTTTGGCAAAGTTAAAAATTGACAGACAATATAGCAATGCATTGGAGAGCCCCTTTTTAAGCCCACTTATTATATTTTAGAAATAACAGCCCTTTTAACATTGCATTAGAGATACCCTTACTCGTGACCACACAATGTAGAACGTATTTAACAGAGTCTACGTGTGTGACCTGACCTAGAAACATAATTAAAGTGGGGGGCAATAACAGATCTCGATGCCACACGTGCCCATGTCCCACCAATCTCCACAATGAATCTTTTAGTGGACGCTTAGGCAGTATCACTCCCCCTCAATCTATAAAATAGTCACTGGCCAAAGAAACCTAACCATCGACCATTCCAAAGACTGCTGCGTTTTAATACTTCGGCAACAGAACACCAACAACTGGGGAAGAACGAGTAGCAGCAGCCCAGTTATGCACCACGTAACCGACGATCGCGAAAGGATATTCAACGGAAATTTTCGACACCACAAAACGTTACCACTGGCTAACTGTAATACCCCTAATTTTAAAAATGATAGTCTTGGTATTTTAATTATTGTTTTCTTGCATTTTGTGTGCCTATTTGTTTATTTGATTAAGTGTTTAATGGTTTTACTTCTTTAATTGATTTAGTTGTGATTTAGTTGTTTAATTATGGAAGTTAAATTTTATTAATTGATGAATTATCTTATTTAAGTGAATTGTTTTAATTTAATGGAATTGTTTATTTTATTGACTTATTTGAATTAACTGTCTTAATTTAATTAGGGTTTTATTGTTATAAGCCTATAAATATACACATTACGGTGGTTTAGGGTTTTAGAAAACATAAGCATAATTCACGTATCAAAGCTACAGAGAGATACAGAGTGAGGTTTTGAGAGAACAGAGCACGTTCGGTGTGGGATTCGACTGAGGCTTCAAGGTCGGACCTAGGAGAAGGGAAGAGCAGAAGTAAGAGGAGGATAGACAGTAGTTCAGTGTTGCCGGAACAGTGGACACGACGCCAAGATTTCAAAACTGAAATCACAGGCAAGTTCTTTTCTTCCTCCTTCCCTCTGGCTTGTGTTCTGTGCACCTAGTGTAATACCCCAATATTTTAAAGGATTTATTAATTAAAACTAATCATTTTTATTTTATTTTAAATGATTTAATTTGAATTAATTGTGTTTATTTTAATTTTAATCGAATTGTTTTATTGGGTGCTTAGATTAATTGCTTTATTTTATTTTTATTTCGTGAATTATTGTATAATGTTTGATTGTTTGTGTACTTATTAATTATTGATTGAATTGTTGGCGTGTTGTTATGATGTGACTTAGTTGTACATTTTTGTTTGTTTATATGCTTTATGTAATTAGTTATTTTAATTTAAGTATTTATTTAATTATTTTATTTATTTAAATTAATTGGTTTGAGTTTAAGGAATGTTGGACCAAAGGAGATGGTCTTGGGCTTGAATGAAGCCTTGATGGGTTAATTAATAAAGGCCCATGGGTATTTGATTATTTAAATAATCATTTTTGTTGATTTAATTATGTATAAATATAATTAATTAATAAGTGTTGCGGAAGGATATAGGTTTATGGATATATATATAGGATTTATGATTTAATTAACCGATGGTTAATTATGGGAGATATATATATGTATAAGTAATATAATATATGTTTATATATATTATATTATTTAAATAGTATTAGTTTATTATTTTTTTCGGTAGTCCTATTAGGAATAAGATTTAGGGTTAATGTGTATAAATATACACATAAGGATTAGGGTTAAAAAGTTTACACGTTAGAAAAATTAAGAGAGACAGAGAGGGAAGAAGAAGAGAGAACGGACAAGGAGTAGGTCAGATCTGAGAAAGAGGATGCCGGAATTGGAAGAAACAATCAAAGATTAAAGCTTCGATTTCGTTTCGAGATCTTCAGGCAAGTTCTTTTCTAACTCTCCTCTTAGGACTCATAAGTTTATCACCTTGAGTATCAATATTTAGATTTAAATTTACAAATTAAATTATGGTTGGATCGGAGTAATTAAAAATTATAAGTTAATATATTTAATTTTTGGATTATGGGAATTTAATTGATATGTATAGGTGTTACATATATATTTTTCTAAAATCAATCTACAAGTGGATCTATGACCCAAGAGGGTTAATTAACATTTATAGAATTTTTAGTAATATTCTGGAATTTTTCTAAAATTTCTGGAATTTTTTTCTCGATTGTTTTATAATTTTCTGATATTTTTTTATTATATATATAGTTATTTATGTGTATATATATAATATACATATATACTATACACGAA